TCAAATCTTACATTGAGAAAATACAAAAAGTAAGTTTTGATGTTGATAGGTATGACGAGAAAATTATTAGATAAGACTACCTCTTGATTTATTGTTTTAAGAGCATCTCCAACAGTTATGTTAAAAAAAATCAGATACTTTTCTTCTCTAAAGTAAGTCATTTATAAGGCAACTTTTTTCCCCTCCCCAACCAATGTGGGATCTTACAGTCCACCCCCTCCCCTCCCCCTGGGAGCCCAACATCATCACTGGCACATTAGTCAAGTTCTCGACACTTATGTCACTTGTAATATCCCAAACCAACCGTACTAGATATTGTCCGTTTTGTCCACACCTGAACTCACGGTTTAAAAACACATTTGATAGAAAATATATTCAGTCATTTATAAAGCAACTTCTGTTCATTTTTCCAACCCATACACGATCTTACAGAGAATCATAATTTTAAATAAATTAATAAATGTGGAAACAAATAAAAAATGGAATTCCAAACTTATCCCCTTTGAACCAAACCTGTTATTTAATTGTGGGATTAGGAATTTGGGATCATGCAATTGTCTCCTTTTTTATATGAATTTTGCAAACTCACCAATAACCAATAAATTATTTTAATTTCCTTATTTTTTTATTAAATTAATTAATTAACAAAATTAAAAAATATATATACTCTCTATCATGTTCCTATTGTTTAATGGATGTTACATTTGTCTACTGAATCTGGATATTAATATAAGTCTTGTTTTTTTGTGTATTTCTGTTCAATTTTACAGGTATTTTATGTATGGTTAGTGAGCCGACAGTTATATTACCCGACTCTTAAATTAGTTTATGGATACTTCTGACTCACTTTTCAAAATTTAACGTATTTTCGTTTCTTATGAATATAGTTTTTCTCTTGTGTCTTCAGTTTTGGGCAAACTTTCTTTTTACATTTTTCACAAAGTTAGCTATTTTCATGGAAACAACTGTTATACTCTTTGTGGGTGGATGTCAGATTTATTTATATCTCACTCTTGAACCCCAACTTCAGACGAAATATACTGTGCTCGTTTGGTTTGAGGTAGCTTTTAACTTGTTTGACCATTTTTATTTTTATTTTACTAATAGACTCGGTAAAGACATTTCATGCCCACGCTAAATGTCCACAATTAACCATAAGGGTGGTGCCCAATTGGTTCCAAGAATCAAAAGTGCTTGGAGGTCTCAGGTTCGAATCCAATGAGGAATACAAATCCCTTTTTGGCCACGGAGATTCAAATACGGTGACTCCGGGCTACCTGCGAAACGGATGGTCGTCCTGTGATTAGTCGGCTCGCATAGTTGGTTGGATATCCGAATTAATTAAAAAAAATGTCCACAATTAAAATGATACATGGTTTTATGATGTGTAATTATTATAGTTTTAATGTAAGTTAATAGAGAAAAATTGTATCCAATCAAGAGTGGGATGGAGAAGTAGATACTTATTTTTTAAAATTATCCTTTTATTTTAGAAGAAATTAAGGGGTTGTTTGTTTACCTCTTAATAACTTCATTAAGAGGTAGTTTTTAAATCGTTAACAGATAAATTTTGTTTGACAAAAAAAATCCGTCTTTTAATGGTTTTTAAACCCTCTGTATGATTTTGTACTTTGGGTCTCTCTTAACTATTCAGTGCCCTAATTTCATTCTGAACAATTACCAAACAATTATATTTCATTTTGCATTATATCATAAAAATCTCTTAATCATTCTGACCACTTAATCATTCTATACTAAACCATTCAACAACTGACAAATAACCTCTAAAATAGAATTGTGAATATTGATTCTTGGACAAAGAGAGTAAACTACAACATAAACAAATTCACTTTTCAATAATAGGTTGAAAGTGTGACCTCTACTTCATTTACCTGTAACTTTTAACATCTAAGGCGTTGTTTATTGAACACTTTATCAGTAAGCATTTATTGGGTAATTTATTTTACTGATTAAAATTACCAGGGCCAAAAATTTTACTTAGTAAGAGCGATAATAAGGATGAGAGAGTCTTATCCATTAAGTGAGAATGACAACTCTTAAGGGTTGTTTGTTTACCTCTTAATAGTTTCATTAAGAGACAACCTCAGAATCGTTAAGAGGTGAATCTTGTTTGACAAGAAAAAAGTCTCCCTCTTAATGGTTCAAAACCCTCTAAATGATTTTGTATCATGGATCTCCCTTAACCATTAAGAGCTCTAATTTCATTGTATACAATTACCAAACAATCAAATTTTATTTTGCATTATATCATGAAAGCCTCTTAATCATTCTGACCACTTAATCATTCTGCACCAAATTATTCAGCAATTGTCAAACAACCCTTACCCGGTAAACATTTATCAGATAAATTGTTATATACAATACTGTTTTAGTATACTATAAGTTTGAGTGTCGAGTCTTATCCGTAATTATTTATCAAATAAACGTTTAAATACGTGATCTCTAAGTTTGTATTTTTAGCATGTATTGCATTTTTTATGTGGTTATTGTTATTTTATTTAATTGCTCAATTTATATTATGAAAATAAAAATAAACAAAAACGCGTACCGACAGCGACCCCAAATTATTTTAGAGTAAACTACATGTTTAGTCCCTGTAATTTGTTGAAAATTGCTGTTTTGATCCTTGTATTTTCGTAATTACGTTTTTTTGTTCTTGTAGTCATTGATTCACAATTCATTGTTGTTTTCGTCTTTATAATTTATAATTTGTTAATGATTTCATTCTTTTAGTACATATTCATTATTGTTCTAGTCCTTCATACTTAACGATAAACAAGGTTCAAAACGGTGTGAGACGTAATGCGACGACGAGATCAAGCCTCAAGTCTTACACGCCACGTTGAGGACGTGACGTTTTTCAAGTTGCGACAGTAGGCAACCAATTTGGGTTTCATGTATATAATTAAAATCCCTTTCATTTGCAAGCCCTTTAATTGTAAAAAATCATACAAACCAATCTCAACCATCCATTTAGATTAATGAATATATGGTTCTGTAAGTATCTCAATTATTTCCTAATTTAAAGGGTTAATTGTAGTTAATGAACTCCATCATCTTCCATAAATATCTTGATCATAATAAATGAATCATCACTATTTTCTATAAAATATATATATATATATATATATATAGAGAGAGAGAGAGAGAGAGAGAGAGAGAGAGAGAGAAAGAGAGGGTTGGGTTCGAGACCAAGGGTTTTTCGTGAGACTCGTAAGACCAATTTATGTTCATTGATCAACTTTATAAGTTAATGATCTAATGGTCTAAAGTTGCATGGTGACAATCTTGTGATTATTGAGAAGCCTCGTGGCATTTATGAATGTTCAAATTGTTATTTTGTAGATCTAATCCAATGGTTGAGAATTGGTCTTACGGGTCTCACGAAAAACCCTTGGTCTCACGTGATCCCAAGGGTTTTTCGTGAGACCCATAAGACCAATTCTCAACCATTGGATTAGATCTACAATCTGAACATTTATAATCACGAAATTGTCAGGAGACTTCTCAATAATCACAAAATTGTCACCGTACAACTTTAAACCATTAGATCATTAGCTTATAAAGTTGATGAATGAACATAAATTGATCTTACGGATCTCACAAAAAACCTTTGGTCTCACATGAACCCAACCATATATATATATATATATATATATATATATATATATATATATATATATATAGGGGAGCGTTCAAATAAAAACCACCCTCATTTGTAAAAACCGTACAAACCACTTTCATAAGTCGATTTCATTATTTAATCTTATGAAATTTTTTCATGAAATTATTTAAATTATGTGAAATTGTTTCATATAATAATTTTTTTGATGAATTTGTTTCATATATGGTTATTAAATTGTTTCATATAATATTTAATGAAATTTTAATGAAACTGTTTCATGTATTTCTCTAAAATTAAAATAATGAAGATGATAATATCCATAATTAACACCATCCACAATAAAAATGGTTAATCAACCTCTCATAATTACAAAAAAAATGAAAAAACTGAAAAATTATGATTGGTTGAATGAGGTTTTCACGGTTTTTACAAATTGAGTGATTTTTATTTGAACGTTCCCCTATATATATATATATATGTGTGTGTGTGTGTGTGTGTGTGTTTTCTAACCATTCACTCAGACGATTATATTAAAAAAATTTACATCCATATTAGAAGAAGAAAAATCATAAAAAATATTATTATAAAAATAGTTTTTTATTAAATATTCAAAATTTATAAAACAACACGCCTTGTAAAAACCGCATGAGGCGGCGCAAGCCACACCTTACAGAAATGCTATAGGCAGGGACGAACCAATGCGGTGACACGGTTCACTGCTTCGTTCCTAAGTCGTAGTGTAAAAAAAAATATGGGATCGTAAAAAGTGACGCCATATTAATTAGTTGTGTGTCATCATGTATATTTTAAACTACAATTATGACACAAGGTTTCATTGGTAGAGTTGGTTTGCAAGACTTTTTTCATTTTAGACTCGACTTTGAATCTCGTTAGTGTCATTTTCTTAATTTTTAGATTATAATTTCAGATTTATTATGTTTCTGAAAATGAATTTCATTAAAACATTGAACACATGACCTCACATATGAAAAACAATGAACTAACCAACAAACCAATGGTAACTTTAAAAACACATCCCTATATTTGTTTCTTATAAGCAAATGGTGTCAGCGCTTGAAATTATTTTTAGGTCGGTCTTTGGCTATTGATCTTACCGTAACGGTACATACACACCTTTCGTTATATCACGTCATGCATTGATGGTAAACTATTGACGGAGTTACTCTCAAGGATGAAAACAGTAATGAATTACAAATTATAGGGACAAAAACCGTAACTTTAGAAACACAGGGGACTAAAAACGTAGTTTAACTCATTATTTTATTAAATTTAAATTGAGTGACGCTCCTATTCGTTTATAAAAATGAAACCGATATCATTACTCGACATTTCTAGAAAAAACATCGATATTCGCAACACCACACTCGAAATGGGGCGGAGCAACGGCAGCAGTAAGTGGTCTACGGCGGTGGTTGTGGCATTCTGCGCCACCGTGATGGTGATGCTACCGGAAGTCACCGCCAAGCGGTATATTGTCGGAGGAAATATGGGCTGGACTTCAAACGTTAACTACACTCTGTGGGCCGGAAACCAAACGTTCTACTTCGGCGACTGGCTCTGTAAGTATCTCGCTCGGATCTACTCTTTTGCTTCTCTAATTGATGTGTTTCTAGTTGTAGATCTTTGAATACTTGTTTATTTCAGTGATTTTGAAGTTAATTGAGCTAGATCTTCTAGTTTATGTGGTTTAGAGTGTATGAATCTTCGAATGCTAGTGATTATTGTTTGAGTTTATTGAAGTTATGATTTACTAATTTGAGTAAAATGCTGGTAATCATCAAGTTAAGAACATTGAGGACATTGTTCAACCTCATTTTTTGTGCTTTTGAGTAGAATAAGGCACCAGAGATCTGCAATTGTAAAGAGGCAATGCTTGTATAATTTGCGATGAAAACGGGATCTCAGTCTGTGTCTTTGTTGTTGAGCTGCCATAGAAATTTTCAAATTAAAGTGAAGGGGAAATGATGTTGTTTTTGGGGTAAACATTGAGTTCCACCCTCAAATATTGAAATTTGTTGCAAATGAAACTTTACTTTCTACACTTTCAGCAAAGCAGAATCACCACTCAAATTATAAGCATTGTCTCTTTACAATTGCAGATATCCATCGTCCTTTTACTACTCAAAGCACAAAGACCGAGATTGAATAATGTTCTCAATGTTATTCAACCGTAAGTTCACCTAACTGAGATAGTAATCACTAGCATTTGAAGATTCATACATTTATAAACCACAAAAACTAGAGAAAAAAAAGATCAACATCTCAAGATCTAGTTCAATTCATGACACCATATTTGCTTTTTGATATTGTCTTGGTATTTTGAACACAAACTCTTGCTCAAATCCTGAAAACCGTGCTTTTGTCACGTGTTCATATTCATTATGCATAGTGGACGTGATTTTTTTACAAAATTCTTGATGAATGTATCTGACACTTGACGCGCGCTCGGTGGTTCCCTGAAACGGTTCTCAACCGACCCTACGTCCCTACTCCATATGAACATAACAAATATAAAAGAATGTATCCCAGTTGTTCTTTTTATAATCTTTTCTATATTTGTCAAACGATTGTTCATCATACATGTAAAAAGGGTTTATCATCATGACCATATTTAAGGTTGGAGAGGTTTCATATGTTCTCACATGGTATCAGAGACTAGGAACTCACACTATGGACCAATTTGTACTTGTCCCTTTCTCAACACCCTAGGACAATCTCTGTCCGTTTAGCCTCCAAAAGGGTCGTGTTGATGTCCCACGTAGGCTAGATATGAACAATTTATCCGCAATACATGTTGGAACTACCGTTCTTTCTTCAAGAGCTCTTTTAGACAGTGATCTAACAGGATTTCACATATTCTCACATTATGCGCCTGTGTCAAACTATTTTTTTGTTTTGTTTTGGGTCTCAATCGTATTTCCCCTTGCAGTTTTTGTGTACGATAGGAACCAGAACGACATACTCGAAGTGAACAAAACCAACTACGAAACCTGCAACGCCGAGCATCCCGTTCACAATTACACAACCGGAGCCGGAAGAGACGTGGTGGAACTGAACGTCACCCACGACCGTTACTTCATCAGTAGCAAAGGATCCTGCTACGGCGGCATGAAATTACACGTACACCTCACAAAGCTACCGCCACCTCCACGTGCTGCCCCAGTAAAGAGTCACGCTTCAAGATTCGGTGGTCTCAGACGCCAACTCGTGATCCCGACCGTCTTCGCCGTCGCGGCCATCTGGGATTCGCTGCTTCTCCGTCTCTGATCAAGAACTCGAAGTCGAGATAGGTATAGGTGAAATGGACCCAAACTGGGTGCATTTCGAATTGGGTGTTCTCTTAATTATTTTGAATTTGGGTGTTGAATTTGTTTGTTAATTTGACCAAAAAACTGAAAATTGGAAATTGATTTATGGGTTTGATGAATGGATGTAATTGAAAACATTAAATTCTTATTGGAGCATTTATTTATTTTATTGCGTAACTGGCGGATTTGTTCACTTTTTCCACTTTGCACATGGTTAGTTGTTGTCGGTCTTGTCAATTGTCATCATTCACATGTGCATAGCTATTTGACTCTGGTTGGAGATTGGATGGTTTGTTTTTGAGTTTAATAATTACGTTGATAAAAAAAATTGTTATAAAAATAAATTATATAAAAAAGTAACCTAATTTTTATTTTAGGTAATGTATTTTTAAAACTTTTATTTTGATATTTAAGATGTAAAGTTTTAAATATTTAAATATTCGATTAACTATTGAAGATTAATTTTAGATTAAAAAAAATCAATGTCACTAACCACGTCAACAAATAATACTAAGTTGGATACCACATCATTCGTTACATCAACATGATAACCGGTTAATACTTCAACTGTTACCCGAGTACTTAAATGTTTAAAATTTTACATCTTATGTATCAAAATAAAAGTTTTAAAAATATGTTACCTAAAATACGTTATTTTTTATACAATTTATTTATAAAAAAAAAAACATATACTATAATTGCAAGGAATTCAAACAACCTCTAATTTTCTTACCCTTTTTTGTGGGACTTTAGATTATTTGGTATATTTTATCTACGTGTTTTTTATAATGCACATGATGTTTATTTAATCATAATGTTGGTATTTGGTCGTTTGAATTTATCGAATTCAAGTTTATAGATGTGTAAAAAATCATTTGATTTAATTAAAATCGACTCGTTTAGTTAGAGCTGATTGATCATAACTGAATATCCAACTGTAATTTGGATTGTATCAGATCCAAAATCTTAACATTGAAATTAGATGAATCGGTTGTTGAATGACAATTCAGAATTCAATAAAACCCAGCCAATTCAGTCCAGTTACTTTTTTAGGGGGAGTTCCAAATGCAAATCATGAAATTCTTACAAACCTAATCTGAACTACTGATTTTGTTTATATTGAAATTTAGAGGCATGCATAAAATGCGATTGAAAGTAAGTTTATGGACCGAATTAATCCACACCGTTGAATCATTGATTATCTATATGTATGGTTGAGATCGATTTGTAAAGTTTGAAGAATTTATTTGTTTGTAAAATAAACCTATCATACCTTTTGTGGGTTGGGTTCCAGTGAGAAGGGAAGTTATGATGAGAAGCGTAAGAAGAGATTTCCACCTTGTATCAATCATAATTAAATGTTAACACTAATGAGGTGTACCGAAATGCACCAGATCAATTCCTTTCTAATGCACGATTCATGGGTGGGCGTGAGACTAAAAGTGATTAAGGGTTCAGATATATTTTTATGTTTTTCACATTAACTCTTCTTTTCACACGATCATTCGCCACTTTTTTTACTGTCATTAAATTCATATATATATATATATATATATATATATATATATATATACACATACATACTGAATAATATTTTACGATGTTTTTAGTTGATATTTGTATGCTACGTTTTCTAAAAAAATAGTAGAATATATAAGAATAATCATTAAAAATGGTGCATTAATTACTCGTCACCATTTTTTAGATTCCCGGATCTAATTCCATTCAAAATGATATCATAACATTGAATGGACCTAATCCAGCCCAAAAAAAAAATATTCAGTAGATGAAATTAATTTGATCCAATCATCCGTTGCATTGATTTTGATCAGTTATCCAGTGTTAGCTGGATTGTATCAGATGATAAAACTGAAACTGAACATCTAATGGATCATCGGGTCAAATCAGCTCCACCTAAACTAACTGCATTTCATCTGATGAACACACTAATCATCACTAACATGTGAATGAGTCACGATTCGTTTTTAGGAAAATTCCTCATGACCTAACAACGAGAAGTAATAACACCTCGTTTTAAAGAGGGAAATTCACATGTTCAAATATTTGGTATCCACCAAATTCGGCAACCTTTGAAAAATATACGATGTTGTATGATAGTGAACATTAATCTTGCTGATAATTATGACGTTCAGTAAATTTGTTTGTCAAATTGCTTTTTCCAGTGTTTATTTAGGCAAAGTCACTCCACCATTTTGCCAACTAAGCTACACGTCAGAATCCTCCCGTGCTCTATTATTGTCATCACTAATTTTAATTTAATTAAAATTTGTAACTAATTGTTCCACACGTATAGAAAATGGGTTATGTGAACTCTTTATAAGTCCCAAGTTGTGGGCTACCGTTTTAAGTTGAATATGAAGTTATTGGTCAGCACGTTGAATCTGAAATATATCTCGATTTTAATGTTTTCTTTTATTTTTTTGGTCTCTGTCGATATTATAATATAAATTTATGTGGTTTTGAGCAAGTAATAATGTTTTTTTTTAATATAAACTTGAAGATATCATAAAAATTTTAAAAAATAATTTAAAAGTTCTCATTTTTTTTGTGTAATTTCTTTAATTCAATTTTTTTTTATTGTTAATTTAGGTTTAATGACGAAGTAATTTGTTTTTGATTTAATAATATAATTTTTATAAAGATAATAACTAAGTATTCTGTTAGAATTCAAAAATTATCTTAATTATATTTGAGATATATAAAATGAGAATTTTATCATGTATTTGATTATATTTATCTACGGTTAGTTACACGAATTCCAATGTGGATCTTAATAAGTTGTACTTATACACAATTTACTTGTAATCTTGAATTTTAAGTAATATGCATCAATAATATAATATAGATATCTCTTTTATTCGAAGATCTTTTTGCATAAAAATATAGTATTTTTTTATAGTTTATTTTTGTTTTCGTTCTTGGATTGATTTCTCTCTTTTACGTATAAGGGATCAAAACAGTAAATAATTGTAAACCATAGGGACCGAAACAACAATAAGTTGTAAATCATAAAAATGAAAACATCAATGAATTAAAAACTATAAGGACGAGAACTGTATTTTTTAAACCACAGGGATGAAATATACAATTTTTAACAAAACATGAGTTACTCAAAAATAATTATAATAAAAATAATATATTGTAAAAAATATGAGTAAACTACAAATTTGGTCCCTATGGTTTGATAAAGTTAACACGTTTTCTCCTTGTAATTTAAAAATTACCAGATGATCACTGTTGTTTGCAAAAACGTTTAGATTTGTTCCCTCCTTTTAAAAGCCGTTAAAGAATTTCATTAAATGGGGGACATTTTCGTCATTTTATCTATTTTTTTGTCTTTTACCAGAACCACAGTTATAAAATCGATTTTGATTGAGTAAAAGGCAAAATATTTTTGATAAAACGATGAAAATATCTCTCGTCTAACGGAAAGACGAAATAGAGAAATTTTTGCAAACCATGATAACCATCTTGTAATTTTGAAACTGTAAGGACGAATAGTATTATTTTCGACAAACCACATCGACCAAACTTGTAGTTTACTAAAAAATAATTGCTGATTGGGCTTATTTATGATCGTGAAAATGAAAGTTTGCTATAACATTAAGGTGTCCTTTACCAAACGCTTAACCCAGTAAGTGTTTACCAAGTCACATTACTTTATCAGATGAATATGACAAAGACTAATAATCTTAACCGTTAAAAAACGAAAGCAAGAATCAAGAGTCTTACCCGGTAAGTAAGGGCGACGACTCTTACTATGGTTAGCGCTTACCTGGATAAATTGCTGCATATGATGCGTTTTGGTGAATAAAATCTTATCTGATAAGTAAGCAATAGTATTAAATTTTTCCAGTAAGCATTTACCAGATAAGTGTTTAGATAAATGACCCTTAAATCCAAACTCAATAGATTTAAATATTTGATGGAATAAAATTGAATATGTTCGATTATGAACATATTCACAACTCATGTTCACATGTCGGCCCTATGCTCGTGTGAACATCATCTGTGTCTTGCAATGTAAACACTATGTTCATATGTC